CATAAATTTCATGTTAATAACTCCAAGCCCAGTCATCTCCCCAACTACATTTGACAGCAGCAAAGCTGGATGTGAAATTTTCCAAAGTGAACCTCATGCGTGAGCTATCCCAGGACATGAAGCTGGGGTAAAGCTCAACTCCTCAACAGCCACAGATTCAGGTTCTGTCTCAACACCCAGCACACATCTGCCGGTAGCTCATTAAAAGGCTCATTCAAGAAAGCAAAGTTAAGCAGCACGGGTTAATTTCTCTCAAAGTTGGTCCTCCTTTAGCTTTCTACACAACTGCTGGTGCTGGCCACGTCCTCCCAGCACAAGACACTGGGGAACTTGGGGACTCCAAGGATGCATGAGAACCCCACCCCCATCCTTACCAGTGCCTGGAACATCTGGAGCGACTCCCCATCCTGATCATACATAAACTGTCCCAGTAGCTGCCCTTCTTCTTGATACTCATTTTCTAGCCCCTGAAACCAAGATCACATAGTCGTTATATAATGGAAAACCAACACTGAGTTAATTAGGACTATTTCCCTCCAGCATGAGCTTCTACAGCACCCCCTGAGGTAAGTATGATTCCTCCATTATAGACATTAGGAAAACTGGGACTGAAAGAGGAGAAGCTCTTGAGTAGCAGGAAGTAACTGACATGCACATAGTGTGTTGCTGCTCTCTACACTTCAAGCAGAAACTCCGGCACTCCTGACGGGCCCTGGGGAAGGAGACCTCAGCAGCAGAAGGAAGGCCAGAGAAGGCAGGTGGGGGGAGCGAGGCTGGAGAGGAACACGGGGTGAGAGTTTAATGGGGACAGATTCAGTCTAGGAGAGGGAAGAGCTCTGGAGATGGTGGCAACAGCTGCACAATGGGACTGCCCTTAATGTCACTTAACTGTGCCCTCAAAATGGCAAATCTTATATATATTTTCTCCCAATAAAAAATATAAACTAGTAAAAATTAGGGGCTTAGATGAAGGTTTCATAATGGGGAGGGACTTTTTAGGTATAAGAAATGCTAAGAAGAAATTACAGGTAGTGAGTAGATATAACTAAATACAAAATTAAGAGTGACAATGGGAAGCATATCTATAACAATGACACATGACTTATATTTACAAACTAAAAGTTCAAATATTCATAAGGAAACTAAGATGCCAAAAGATAAAAGAACAAAAATAAGACTAGAATCTACAAAAAAAGGAAAACTGTGTGTGAAATACAGAGAACTGCAGATTAAAACAGGATACTACTTTTCACCTTTCGAGTTAGCAGACATGGAAAAGGGAGGCTCAATTCTTAGAGGGAACTAAGCTAAATACATTTCTTATGTCCTGCTAGTAGAAATGCTAATGCCACATGGCGCAGGGACTTGACAGCCTGAGACGTACTCACGATGCCATGTTTGAGTGCTGCATCTAAGGACACAGGGAAGACGGGAAGATGCTGCACTGATGCTGAACAATGGAAAACGGAAAGATTCAACAGGAGAGCTGCTCAGGCAAATAAGGGGTGCGTCTGCACAACAGGTTTTATGCTATTCAGAGACTCTGAAAAAGAGTTTAACTGCCACAGAAAAATGCTCATGATGACTTTTTTATTTTTATTTAATTTTTTTGAGTTGGAGTCTCACTCTGTCGCCCAGACTGGAGTGCAGTGGCCACTCCCGGCCACCGCAGCCTCGACCTCCTGGGTTCTGGCGATCCTTCCACCTCTGCCTTTAAAGTAGCTGGAGCTACAGGTGCGTGCTACCACGCCTGGCTCATTTTTGATTTATTGTAGAGATGAGGTCTCACCAAGTTGCCAAGGCGGGTCTCGAACCCGCAGGCTCAGGCAATCCACTCACCTCAGCCTTCCAAGGCACGGGATTACAGGCTGAGCCACCGAGCCTGGCTGACTTGCTTTTTAAAGAGCCAGTGTCTCGCTCTGTTGCCTAAGCTGGAGTGCAGTGGCAGGATCACAGCTCACTGCAGCTTGGAACTTCTGGGCTCAAGCAATCCTCCTGCATCAGCCTCCTGAGTAGCTGGGACTACAGGCAAGCCACCATGCCTGGTTACTTTTTTTTTTTTTTTTCAGTTGGAGTCTCACTCTGTCGCTCAGACTGGAATGCAGTAGCTCCTTCCAGCCACCACAGCCTCGCCTGCTGGGTGGGCTCTGGCAATCCTTCTGCCTCAGCCTTCCAAGTAGCTGGAACTACAGGTGTGCACTACCATGCCCAGCTGAATTTTTTGATTTATTGTAGAGATGAGGTCTCGCCAAGTTGCCCAGGCGGGTCTCAAACCCGTGGGCTCAGGCAATTCGTTCACCTCGGCCTCCTAAAGTGCTGGGATTACAGGCTGAGCCACCCCCCTGGTTACTTCTTAAATTTTGTGTAGAGATGCGTCTCACTATGGTCTTGAACTGCTGGGCTCAAGTAATCCTCCCATGTTGCTGGGTCTATAGGCGTGTGCCATTGTACCTGGCTGTTTTCTTGCTTTTAGAATTTATGGAAACAAAGAAATTGAGAAAAACACACACACACACGCACACGCACACACACACACACACACACACACACTCATAATTCCAGCACCTAGAGAAAGCTTTTTAAAAAACCATTAAAAATTACAGTTGGAACAATGAGTTTCATAAAACTTTGTTTCCTGCCTTAAAAAAGCAACATTTTGGCTCTCAGAGGCTAAGGCAGGAGGATCACTTGAGGCCAGGAGTTCAAGAGTAGCCTGGATAACATAGCAAGACCCTGTCTCAAAAATAAAATAAAACAAAAGTAACTTTTGTCACTTAGATGCTTCGACATCACCCAGTTGTTAGAATATCCTTTATAGGGACTGAAGTGGTGAAGAATGCAATTCTCAAAGTTAGACATGTTTACCTTGATCTGTTTAGCGCTATATGCAAACCAATTATCAGTTAACATCTTGCGTATAAGTTACCCTCCCTAGGAAAGTACCAGAATGTTTCCCTGAACATTTAACCGGCTCACTCAGTGCGTGAGAGGGCAGTGGGGACGGCAGGAGCAGCTTTCACATGTTTCTCTTCGGGAATCCCAGGAAGGGGTAGGAGGAGGAGAGCTGTCTGGATGGCCCATGGTCAAGCACACTCACGTAGACTGCAAAGTCCTTGGGCGCGCTGGTAATGTTGCCCGTTGGGGACAGCGTCTTTGGGATGTGCTCCAACGTGAAAGCCGTCGGGTGGATCGTCATTGAGAGCCGCACCACCAGGTAGCCCTGAGAGCCTTTGAATGCCCAGCAGTTCCCGGGATATATGTCAGGCTGGGGAGGGCAAAACACTAGAGCTCAAGAGTCTGAACAAGCTCTTAGCCACTTAAAAACAGAAGCAACAAGAGAAAAGACTGAGAACACATAAATACGAGTGAAAGGATCTCTGCATGGTAAAAGTTGCCATAAGCAAAAGCAATAGACAAACTGGGAAGAGGCCTTTGTAATTTACATCTCAAAGGTCACTATCTCCAATAAGTTAAATTTTATAAAAGTTAAAATGACCAGAACCTTCAAGAGAACAGGCAAGACGTACACAGTTCAAAGAAAAAGTAAATGCAAAAGATTCCGGATCATACGAAAAGGTGCTCTCCACCTCACACAATAACCAGAAAAAGCAAACAAGGAGCTGCTATTTCTTGCCTATGAGACTGGTAATAAACCTTGAATGTGACAGGAACTGCTGTCACCGCTGGAGGGAAACGCACGTTCTCACTGCTGGTCACACCCTGGGAAGCGAAAGGGCACGACCCAGTCCAGCTGCGTGTGGGAACACCCCAGAACCCAGGAACCCCACCCTATTCCTGAGGCCCACGGGCAAAAATACAAAGTGGCCTTCACTGCGAGGGCACTTTCAGTAGCAAAGGATGGTCCGCGGGCCCACAAACCGGGCACCAGGGGACTCATCACTGGGCCCAGGCAGCAGGGCTGTGCAGGGCAGCAGGAGGGGAACAGCCCACCCTCTGGGATACACGCCCACTGACTCATGTTGCGAGAACACGGCCGCACAGCATGTCTGTGCATACTGGGTGTGCCCGTCGTGCCAGTTATTGAGGTGCTACTGCTCGGCTCCAACCAGCTTTGTCAGTTCAGGCTGCTGGAGGACATGGGGCTTCCCTTGGCACCCCTCTGGGGAGCTTTTTGGTACTGGGTGCCCAGGGAGTCACCCCATGGTGAGCAGGCTTGCCCAGCACCCTGGAGGCTGGACTTGTGGCACGTTCCACAGAGTGGCAGCATAGCCACCTCTCTGCCGCTCGGTGAGCCATGGCCACGGCCTCTGCAGTCCCGGGGTGGGAGCAGGCGCTCCCATCTGCCGTTCTTGTTTATAGTCTTTAAAAATCTCTTTCTGCCTGTAGCTGATCATCATTCTAACCTCTTAACAGTTAATAGTTCTTCATGTTAAGTCTCCCCATTAAATTCTGATAGAGAACTGGAGCAGAGAGGGGTCCACCCCCCATCTCCTCCCGACATCTCTAAGGTTCCTGAGTACCCACTATGCCCTCATGCCCAATAACAGTGCCGTGGATCCTATGATACTGAGGCATGTCAGGAATTCAGTCCTTTGTGTCTACAACGTGGCCAAGAGCAAGGGCACATGCAACATGGCTGAGGCAGTGCTGGGAAGGTATTCCACTGGCCCTGCCAGGAAACACAGGCTGCACTGGTGGCACTTGCAGACTGGCATGGAAAAAGCGCAGATGCAGGTCATATACAGGGCCATGCGAGTTCACGGTGGCAGAGTCTATACCTGTTCACAGCGAGGATGGGTTTACAGTCCTGCCAGGACTCGCCATGGTGGTCTACATCTGTTCACCCTGAGGAACGAGTCTGCAGCCCTGCCAGGTTCTGCTGTGGCAGAGTCTCCCCTGTCCACTCGGAGGGGTGGGTCTGCAGCCCTGGAAGGCATTCTGCTTATAGCTAGGCCCTCACCACGATGACTGGTGAGTCCGCGATGTGCTGATGACTCTGGGGAAGCCTGATACCCTCTATGCACAAGTGCCACTCCAGCTGTGGTGACCACGGAGACGTAACCCTACGCTAGTAGCAGAGGATTCTGAATGTCAGTGTACAGATACTTCATGTTCAACTTAATCCAGGAATTCTGAGGACTGGGCTTGTGCTGAAGTAAAGGACAGTTATCAGGCAGATGTTTCACGCGAATCATTTGAACTTTTCTCAAAAGGTGCCATGACTGTGAGCAACAAAGTCACAGGAATGCAGGAAGTGCATTGGAGGGGGACTGCTGGGGACTGCACTGCAGCGAGCGCTCATGTCACCTGACAAAAGCATGTCCGTCACCTTCACTCTAAAAAACTGAGAGACACAACAACCTCACGACGGAAGAGCACTCAGCACAGCAGCAACAAATAACTCTGCCTAACACCACGGAGCTCCAGGAGGGAGCGCGTGCCTGGAGGGTCCAGCATGTGTCCGGCTGCCTCTCTGTGAGCAGCTCAGGCCCAGCCGACAGCGGTGTGCTGTGGAGGCTCATGGGGACGTGGTGACATCGGGGTGCTGGGGTGCTGTTTCTTGCGCGGACGTGAGGTGTGCTCATCTTACGATACTCCGTGGTGCTGCGATACTGTGAGCTGCACACACTCCCGTGTGATCACACCTTAACTGGCCTATACCTGAGGTCTCCACACCCCCGTCACAGGCACGGAGCCCACACTGGGCACGCAGCGCTGACCACAGGCAGTCACTCACCTGAATGACCACACGTGGGGACTGAGAGAAGTACCACAGTGGGATGCCAAACAGACTTATCAGCGCCGTTTTAGTTTCGTACGTCTCAGAACAACGAGTACTCAAGATACTACCACCTTAAAGCAAAATTGAGATTTGTGTCAGAACCTAATTCCCCCATTTTGGAAGCAACACCATTGTCCATCTTACGGTTTTATTCAAAGTGGTTTTTAAAGTCCCAGGTTTTGACTTACACAAAGAATCTTCTACCTTAAGATCAGGCCCATTCTTAATTAATTCTGTTTTCCCAAATTCAGTGTTAGTAGTTTGCAATTGTTTTACGACAATTTGTACCTACTGGACCTCAAGAATGCTTAAAATACTGGCCTTCTCCTTCGCTAGAGGAACAGCTACTCTGGGTGTACGTTAGTCTATTTTCCTAAACAAAGAATCCAACAAGCCCTGCTGTTACCTGGCAGGTGAGCCTGAGGAGGGCCTGTGTGAGAGGCCAAGTGATGTGTCACCCTGATAATGACCAGTTATGATACAAATGCTGGGCACAGGGGGTGGCTCTAGCAGGTACAGGGTTTCTATTTGGGGTGAGGAAACCATTCTGGAATCAGACAGTGGCGATGGCTGTCCAGCATCGTGAATACACTAAAAACCACAGAGCTATACACTTTAAAATAGTGAAGTCTTTGTTCTGTGAATTGTGTCACAATCATAATAAAAATAAGCAATTTTTAAAAGTCCAGTTTGTACCTCCCTAGGAAATAGGGCAGAGAAAACGCTGGTGTCACAGCAGGACCAAAAAACCCTCCAAAACAAAAACAAGTCAGCATGGGAAGCAGCAGCAACACAGACCAGCCCATAAGGAGGACATCTCGCAGGAGAGTATTCTAGGCCTTGGGCCAGAACTTGCCAGCCCTTGCGAAACACAGGTGTTGGAGGCGGAGGAATTTGTTTTTGGTTTTTGAGTCGGGGTCTCCCTCTATCACCTAGGCTGGAGTGCAGTGCCACAATCACAGCTCACTGCAGCCTCGATCTCCTGGGCTCAAGTGATCCTCCAGTCTCAGCTTCCTGAGTAACTGGGACCACAAGTGTGCACCACCAAGCCTAGCTACGGAATTTGTATCTTAAACACAAAAAACAAGGTCACTGTTGTGGCTGAGATGTGAATTTCTGAACAACTAAATTAAAAATCTTTTTTTTAATTTTTAAAACTTTTATAGGCATGGGGTCTTGCTGTTGCCCAGGGTGGTCTCAAACTCTTGGGCTCAAGTGATCCTCCTGCCTCAGCCTCCCAAAGTACTGGGATTACAGGTGTGAGTCACTATGTCTGGCCTTACCTTTTAAAAATATCCTATTCTCATTTTTAAAAAGAGTCCTGAGTAACTCACTTTTTTAATTTACAAAGAGTCAGTGAATGTTTTGATCAGTAACAAAACCTTCAGTTTAACTCATAAGGACTGTGAGAATCTGAACTAAGGACACAAGAATCTGTAAGGATTAATTATAGTTCTAAGAACTAATGACAATTATTGGCCCTCAAATGGTTAATGCCATTTGATGTGTCTTAACTAAAAATTGTTTCATAAATCACTAAATTTTAAAATGAATAAAGATGAAAGCACATAAAATTCTTAAAAAGCCATTTTAAATAAAATATACATTAAGAACAGCTAACAGCCTTCTTGATGTCTAGCATCTAGAAGAATCTGGAAGTTTTTACACAGAACAGCAGTCTGCATCCATCACATGAAGCTGTCAGGTGGTGAATGCTGGAGCCCAGCTATTGCAGCAACAACAGGATTAGGTTCCTGACTGCCCACACTTCCAGAGTTCCTGAGCTGCTGGGATGAGGCTTTTTATTATTACTACTGCCCTGTAGGGCTCATATATTAACACGAACCACACACATGATCTTCCAAGAGATTTGAATCACCAGCCTATACCTGCAAATCCTGCATTTTAAAAATTCTGCAATGTTTAAAATGTGTTTTCTACAGCACGTGGCAAAACTCCCTGAAATGACATAAAGTTGTTCATAATTTTTATTGCTCTTACATGTTTCTTTGGAATTGCTCATAGTGGACCTGGGTATGCCATCCCTGATGTCACTGAGGGTGCAACACGGGCCTCAGGAGTTTCCAAAACTACAACTGACTTTTCTTTTTTTTTTTTTGAGTTGGAGTCTTACTCTGTCGCCCAGACTGGAGTGCAGTGGCCGCTCCCGGCCACCGCAGCCTCAACCTGCTGGGCTCCCACTTTAGCCTTCCACTTCAGCCTTCCAAGTAGCTGGAATTACAGGCGTGCGCTACCACACCTGGCTAATTTTTTGATTTATTGTAGAGATGAGGTCTCACCAAGTTGCCCAGGTGGGTCTCGAACCCGCGGGCTCAGGCAATCCACTCACCTCAGCCTCCCAAGGCGCGGGATTACAGGCTGAGCCACCGAGCCCAGCTACATTTGACTTTTCAAATGTACCTGGCCCCGAGTTCGGGTCTAGATCCGTGCACCTGCAGCACCTTCCAGACGTGGTGGCCCACAAATGGCCCTTTTATTTCCTTGAGCAACCAAACATCCTCACCAGTGAGCCTGATTCACTGACTGTCCATCTCGCCATGGGGGCACCCTCAGAGGGTAGGGCTGTGTGGTCACTGCTGAGTTACTCCTGAAGGCACTGAGCCTCTAGCACAGGAGGTCATGGCAATCACCCTGTGTTTCCACAGTGTAAACCCTGTCACAGCTACAAGCACACACCACCAGCCCTCCTAGGAGAGAATGTATGCCCAGAAAGCAACCGCTTGGGAAGAAAGAACACTAAGGATTGTGCAGGGAATCATGCTGCCTTTTCAGAGTTTTTAAAGTTCTAACAAGTTCTTATTGCTGGCAGTGGGGTTACAGCTTCTCTAGGTTACAACCCTGCTAACAGGCGCCCTTCTAATTTAGCAATTAAAATACCTGTTTACTTACCACCTGACTCCAAAGCAAAGTCCACCATCCCAGTCTTGTCCTGGGAATACAGCCTCAGGGCATTGTTCACGATGGCATGTGCTTGCTGGAGACACATGAGAGACAGACATTAGGTTTTAGCAACATAAATGAGGAGCAGATATATAGGGACGAGAGGCCTGAGGGATGTTCCAGCAACTCCATACTTCAGCCCTGCATTCCAACTGCTGAGGCCGGCAGACTGGGAGGGGGCGTGAGGGGAAGGCAGGCACAAAAGCTTCTTCGCCCAGGGTTCAGCCAGTCTCCATAAACCCCCAACCCAGAAAAATCCCCTGGGTGCCGTAAACAGGGATTCCCAACCTCTGGTCCACGGCCTATTAGGAAGCAGGCCGCACAGGAGATGAGCAGCGGGCAAGCAGAGCTCTGCCTCCTGTCAGACCAGTGGGGGCACAGGCACACGGGCCCTACTGTGCACTGTGCGTGCGCGGGGTCTAGACTGCGAGCTCCTTATGAGAATCTGATTCCTGATGCCCCCTACCTCCTTCCCCTGACACCCCACCCGTCCGTGGAAAAACTACCTTCCATGAAGCCTGTCCCTGATGCCAAAATGGTTGGGAACTGCTGATATAAAACATGAATGAAGCAAAGATAGAACTCTGGGACTGTAACATGGGAACTTGGTGACACTCTGTGGTTTTTATGTTATTTCAGAAGGTGTGGCTGCCACAAACACAGGACTCTTGGGGCAAGATGATTCCCAAAGCAGTAAGCACTTCCAAGAAGCAGTTCAGTGATGATAAGGACAGCCACAGCTAAGGCCTCCCGAGCACCCGCCTCCTCCATCCACGGCACACTGAAAGCGCACTAGATGTTCTCTCCTGAAGCCCATGCCCCGGAGGCCATCCCGGAACCAGACATAAATATCCACCGGCTTAACACCCCGACAGTCAGTGCACCTCGATGTGGACTTCCAGCACTGCTCACCACTTACTCACCGCCTCTGTGATTCCAGAAATCCCTGCTTCCTTCACAGCAGACACCACGGCCTCGGCAGGTGGGGCCTGCTTCATCACGGACACGTGGTGGCTGAGGTTCCGCAGGATCTGCAGCTCCAGGCCTCGCAGCGTGGCCTGCAAGTCCTCTTTGCTCACAAACTGAGAGGAGAACTTCTGCAGCAGCCACTCGAGAGAACCCCCTGGCTGGTCTTCAGAAAACAGGAGCCTGACGGTTTCTCTGACTTGGGCATCTACCTGGGAAGAGAGTTAACAGAACATGACTTGACTGTTTCCACTAAATCACTTCAACGCTTCACCCACCGTCTCGGACCCCTCGGACGTATCTTATTTCTCACAGTCCATCAGGAAAACGTGATACCACTTCTTCCTATTAAATTTAAGAACCCCTCAACAGCGCTGGAGAATGCCAAAGAGAACGCAAACAGACAGGAGTATGGCCTCAACCATGGAACTCAGGAAGCGTTACAGCAGTGTGTCCACGTAGCACCCAGAGAGCACCATGGCTGGAGCAGCAGTGAGTGGAAACCTTGCTGCCAACATGTGAGCTCCAGTAAGGAAACCGCCATATAAACAAGCCCACAATGCAGCTTCAGCAAGGCCTACCGTGTCCACGTGCCATCTGCCCAAGCACACGCGTGTCACCGCGTACATCAGTCTCCTCGCTCTGCGCGAGAGTGGAGGGAGGAGCAGCCCAGCCTCTGAGATGCGGCTCACAGGCTGGCGCCCTCACTCCCAGCTGGGCTCTTGGGCCCCGCGTGGGGATGCTGCCTCTCCAGGCCACACACCCGCCTGCAGTTCTCATGGCACTGGCCGTTTGGCGGTGCTTTTATTTCTGCAGGATCATTCTCAAGAGCATGGTCACCAGTCTCAAAGAGTGTGTGTGCTTGTAACTGGGTAGTATCATAAAACTTTTCTTGAAGGCTGTGGGGGTTTACAATCCCACCAGCCATGAGAAGACCCGCTGCCCTGGTCGGCGCTTATGCCAGTCATCGCCTGTGTGGATCTGCAGACTGAAGACGGGAATTCGTTTTAATCTACAAATCCAATAAGCAAGACTGAGCTCCCTGCTCACATGCCCTGTCCATCTCCCTTGCCTCTCTTCCTACAACTCTGGAGCCCTCTAAACGAGAGACTGTTTTACCCTATGAACCGCAAATGCTTTTTCCACCCTACTGTCTGCCTCGGACTTGTGATGACTTTTGCCATCGTATGTTTGTGTTTTTATCCTCGAGCTATAAATGTCTTGATCTTCACCTCTGCCTAAGGATGGATGTACCTGAACCATGTCCATATGTTTCAACATGAAACAGCCCACAACAGGTTCTGATGAAAAGAGACACAAACAACCCACTTCCCACAACACAACTGGTGGAACGTGACTGTGTGCACAGGAAGGACACACCAAGTGTTGGTGTGTGCTGTGGCTGCACGGGGGAGACTCCAGGAGCAATTTGTCATGCTGAAATGTCTATAAACTTCAAATATAGTAAAAAAAAGTTTCAAAGGAAGTTGAAGTTAAATCACTTCATAAACCTAAGTCATCAATTCCAGCTTTCACTTACTTTCTACCATCCAACAAAAAATGGGCACGAAGGAAACGTACTTTTTCATAAATGGCGCCTGCCGCCTCACAGCCAGTCTTCACATGCCGCCAGCTGGCCAGCTCCGACCTCAGGCGCTCCAGCTCCTGCTCCAGATGCTTGACCGTGGCCAGCAGTTGCTGCCCGCCGGCCCCACTGGAAACCGACCAGAGAAGAGCGTCACGCACAGCCACCCGTGCTCACGCACGCTGAGGAGGAACGCCCTCGCTCCTGGGTCAGTCTTGGAAAGATGTCAACTTGCACTACTTCAATGTAGAAATCTAATGCCAGTTTCAAATCCCAAAGGCATTTCCTTTGCATCAGTTCACGCACATAATACACAAGTACACACGCCACACAAGTAGGTGACCTACCAAAATGCTACTTCTTATTGGCAGGCAAAAGATCTCTCTGAAAACTATTTAAGACTTCAGAAATGAGACAATATTTATCAATAATCATTATAATGTTGAATCTAAAGTTTCATGCTGATGAAACAATACATTAAAATGTGTAGCTTCACATATTTTAATAATTCTATTTTATGTAGTACTGTATATTATAGCATGTTATATTTACATTTGTTTATAGGTAGATATAGTTGTTGAGATACTAATAAGTCATCTCTCAAGAAGGTATACTTTTTTTTTTTTCCTAAAGTACACTCTGGGACAAACACTTGACGAGCTGCATATTAGCATATCAAAGCAACTTTTTTTAAAATAAAGGCTCTGGAAGGAAAGACAAAAACGTGCTCCAGCATTAATCTCCACCCTCATAGAAGGATACACAGTGTCTCAAGGCCTGATCTAGGGTCTACAGAACCAGACAGGAGCCAGGATGGGAGGATGTACATTATCACCTGCTAAGTCAATGCTCATCTGCGGGGTCCCTCCCAAGTCTATCACAGGGTTGCTGGAAACAGTACAGAAGCAAAGGTTGCCATGTTTAGACAAAGGGGAGGGAGTGCAAAGGGAGCCTGCCGTGTTGCTAAAATGAATCGTGTAAAAAAGATGTGACTTTGGGACTACCAATGAAAGGGAGATGCCCACTTTAAGGGGCTTCAGGAAAACTGATAAATGCATAGGAGAATGCACTCTGGTAGTGAGGACTCAACACCAGCCCCCGAGGAACCTGCCAAGGGCTCTGCAGGCAGCGTCCTGCCTGCCAGGAGCTGCCGAGCAGGAGGGATGACATTGAGCTCTACCTCCATTCACCTAGATGCCAGCTGAGCCCAGCTCAGTCTTCATGACAGGAGCTGCAGCATGCACCCAGCCACCTGGCAAGTCCTGGGAACACCAGAGTCCAAGGCTCTCTGGGTCAACACAGGGGCCTGTCACCTTGGGGTGGGCTGAACAGCAGCCGTGCTGTGTCGAGAGTGGACCTGACGAGCCCCTCAGGACCCTTGTCCTCATGCGACTCCAGAGGGCCTCCCTGAAAGGCCCCCTGCTGGGACCGTTTCAGCCACAGAGATCAGTCATTTTGGGTGACGCTCAGGTGGACCCTGTACCCAACCCTTTCGTCAGTTACTGCTGCTGCATCCAACAACCAACCAGAAGCACAGAAGACAAAAAACATGAAGTATTTTAAATCCCCTACCTAAGTGTCTTTTGCTTGGTCTGTTCTAATTCCTTCTGGATAGCCTAAAAAGTATAAGAAACAAGCTAATTAAACACACACGTTATACACTAACTTTTCATAAAAACACACACTTAACTTAAAACTAGATATTTATCTGGGATCGCCCCCCACCCTTAATTCAAAAGTCCAGGCCTGCCTGCTGGGTAGCAGGAGATGTTCATTTTACTTTTCTTTTCATCTGTTTTAGAGACAGGGTCTCACTCTGTCATCCAGGCTGGAGTACAATGGCACAATCATAGCTCACTGCAGCCTCAACTTCCTGGGCTCAGGCGATCCTCCCGCCTTAGTCTCCTGAGTAGCTAGGACGACAGGCATGAGCCACACCTGGCCAAAGCAAACGTTTAAAAGACCTCACGTGTTCAGAGGTACACAAATCACAGAGAAACTGCTTTTTGATTTTCAAAACTTATAGCTTCTGTAACCAGAACGCAAGCTGAGAAACAGAACACTGCTGCCACCTCTGGGGAATGTATTTTAAATGTGAAAGCACAAGGAAAAGACAAAATTACACATAGAGATGTGCTGTATTAACAAGGTCTGTTCAAAGCTGACTGAGATAGGAACACTACACAGAGTAGAAGAACAGTATCTGCTCCAACTCTGACTTAATAGAAGTCTCTATGGCTTCAGCACGGGACAGGTGACCACGAAACATGAAAGCATTCCAGGTCCTCACAAGGTGTGCTCATCTCACCTTGGACTGGCCCCTCTCAGCCCTCCCCCTACCTTCCAGATGAACTCATCTGATTCCAACAGGGTCCACACTCCAGGAGCGGGTCCCAAGGCCCCCAAAGGGCTGTGCTAAACCTAAACCTTAGGTTCATCACGTTTTGCAGTTTAGCTCAACAAATACATGTGTATCCGACATTCCAGGCTCTATGATGAGCACTAGAAATACAATGATCCTGTGCCAAAGTGCCCTGCACCCCTGCAGCTCAGATCAGCGCCGACGACCTGCCTGTCTCCCTTGGGCTGTACCAGCATCTAATAATGGGTTTTCTCACCCAAAGTTAGTGCATCTGTCAAAAGGTTCAGGTTCCCTGTATTCTTCCCTAGAGCTAACATAATCTCTAATGGTGAAGGCTGTGACACTGAGTAAAAAACAGGGAGCGGCTGGGTCAGAACCCAGAGGCTGCCTCGAACTGGCAGAGCTGCCTCCTCCTGTCCACAGCCCTGCTCTGTCCTCTTGAGAGACACCTGGAACCACTGAGTCGGGCACACTGATCAAACATTAAAGCAGAAAATGAAACTGCCAGAGGAAAAAACAAAAACATTTTTTTCATTTTACAAAGGACAAAAGCTTATTTTCCTCTCTAACTTAGAGATCTGAAACCTGTGTTGAAATGTACAAATAGACTTTAATACCCTAAAGAAGGCACATTAAATGGCTAAGGAACTTTAAAATATTAACTGTAGCTGACTTTTCTTTTATTAAAAATCAAATCAAATCACTTTGTTGGAGGCTACACTTATAAGGTCAAGAACAAATACCTCGGATTTTTCTGTCAGTTTCTCCAGAACACCTTCCAGGTGTGAGATGCGCACTTCATGCTCATGGTGGACAGTCATGAAGTCAGCCTTAGGGAAAAAGGAATGAACAGGTGGGAAAGAAAGTTATGCCACAAGCAAATAAAAACCTAGCAAAGGAGGCAAGTCATCGCTACACAGAATATCAACAAAGTAGAGACTGTGTATCACCGTCTGGCATAGCCCTCTTAAGAGAATCATCACTAAATAATGTCCTTACTTTCCCCTCTAACTGAGAGATCTGAAACCTGTGTTAAAATGCACAAATAGACTTTAATAAAGTCCTACAAATACCAGAAAACACTCTATGTAGGGAGCAGCCAACTACTATTCATTGAACAAACATTCAGTAGGGACCCATGATACTTACTGATTTAAAGTGAAATAACCATGGAAAAACACAGATTTTCCCCTTGTTTAGTTCATATCATTTTGAAATACAAGACACCCAAACACTTATCCAGAATAAGCCAAGTAGAACAATGCCACAGAACGCTTGAGAATATCACTGAGTCAGGCTTTTATCAGATGACTAATTACTGAGTGGCTGGCCAGGGGGGCGACGCTTCAGCTTGGTGAAGCCTGAACACTGAACACACCTACTGGGGAAGAACACAGTGTCTTCGGCGTAAGCTAACTGCAGAAAAAAAGCAGTTTGTGCCACCAGTTGCCTCAGCAATTCTTAGGAAAATAAAACCACAGTAGGATTACTGGATACACTCCTGGAGAAGGCCTAGAAAAATGACCACCAACTATGTGAGGGCAAAGAAAGGCACGGGGCATTCTGGATGACTAAAATCCCGGTTACGAGACAGAAGTCAAGATCCAACATTCTGGTTATGGGGTGTTTCGTTGTAATTTATGCATCATCTCATTCCCAAAGACAACCAGAACATTCCAGAGAAATTCACACTGAAACCTAAGCTTAAAAATGAGATACACCCGAGCAAAGGGATGACGTCAGCCGGAAGCACAGCCAGGATGCTGACACAACCTTGGCAGGACCCAAGGTCCTCGCTGTCTCCAGCACACCACCTGGCACCCCTGAGAGGGGCCCGTGCAAGTGAGCAGCGGCTTTTAAAATTTTTAGTTTTGATTTAAAAGTACACAGCCATGCACAAGCAGCAGTGCGCGTGCTCAGACATCAGACAAACACAGGCCAGCAGCTCAGGGAGAGGACACAGGCTGCCAACCACCACCAGGTGATGAGAACACTTCACATGAGCTGCAGCTGCTTCGGAAGGAGCTCTGGGGCCCTGCCCGGCACCACGACCACACCTGGAGACAGGCATGTGGTGGAAGATGGTGGAAGAACGGGCAGCCTGCATCCTAAAAGGAGCCCAGGCTGCACAAAGTGTAGCTTTCGACAGATAAACCAGTTCTGGTTCATCTTGATTTTTCTGAACAACTGTCAACTGGTTTCTTTACAAGAGAGGGCAACCCAATAACCAAGGATGCCAGGCCACGCTGTGTCACCCGGTGTGGGAAGTGTCTTGGGCCACTGCAGATGAGAAGCGTGTCTGAGTCAACGTGCCTTCCTGATGCGTCTACCTCAGCGGCTGCCCTGCCCGAGGGATGGGATTCTGGGATCTGCCCCAGGAGGATGCCAGCTGTTGCTTTTCCAAGCCAGCACCCATGTTTGAGGAGGATGCTGGCTTGGAAAAGCAACAGCCGGCATCCTCCTGGGGCAGACTTTTCTTTGTTCTGCCACCCCTGCAAAGAAACAGCCAAGTCCAAATTTATTTTCTTGCTTCCTCTTTCCACCTACAAAACTGTTCAATGGCCAGTAGGAGTGGAACAAGAGCTATGGTAACTGGATCTTACTGAAATCATCTCACCTTGGTGGTTGAGAAACTAGAATAAGCAGCTATGGAGGAACCAAAGCATGACACAAAAGTGTCCCCTGAGGGGACACGAGGCCAAGGAGAACCGGGCTGGTGGTGGTGGTGAGGTCACTCCTGGACTGAGGCTAGGCCGGCCAGGGGCACAGTATTTGAGGCTGAGACAAGAGACACCAGGGAGAAGCGCACTACAGATCATAGGTGCAGCACATATCCTAGGGATTTCAACCCCAAATATCTAAATTAAAGAGTTGTGAAACACATGAAAATAAACATCAGTTCTGAGGAACATGGACCAACAAGGCTTCCATGAGAACAGCAACTAAAGACGACACTGGCACACAGGCCTACGTTTCCAGTAGAGAAGCACCTGCTCTCTTAATAACAGCTTCAGTTCTGAGACAGTTCAGATCACAGGTTTGCCCTTTTCAAATGAACACCGACAGGCAAGGTGTAGATGAGACTCTCATCTCGTTGCATTCAATACCCTCACGAAAGCTGACAGGCAGGCTGAGGACAACTTGGAGACTGCCCAAACGCAAAAGGCCCTCTCTGTTGCTCGACCAGCACACTTCACTCCTGGGGCTGCCACAAGCCTCGAGCCCTGCCCTTTGACAGGACCACCCCCCCTGCTTTAGCACCACAGCTCAGGTCACGGCCAACGACAGGAAGACTGCCCCTCTCGGTGCACACTGCTCCCAGTGTTAAGAACAACAGGGGCAGCCAATTCCCACAGAAGCCCTTCTCCTGTTCCCTCTGTCCCCAAAAGGAGAGCAGGACACTCGGAAGGGTCTCAGCAATACCTCGGTGCCCTGCAGCCCAGCCGTGTCCACCTCCCTCAAGTGCTGTCCCACGGCATCCCTGACCAGCGCCACCAGCCCAGCACTGCCGTCATCCATCTGGTCCACCCGAGCCTGCAGCGTTTGAAGTAGGATGGTCAGTTCTCTGAGCTTCTCATCTTGGTGGTGGCACCGTCCAGACAAAGAGGCCAGCTGCTGCTCCATGTCACTCATCCGATACCACGGAAGAGCCCCCTCGCCACCCTAAAACGGCAAACAAACAATAGATCCAGGCCATCAAGTGAGGATGAGCAAGAAACAGCAAACAGCACACACAGCACAATGCTGGCACAGGGCACGTGGACATGAAAGCCTGATCAGCATGACGATCTCATGTGCCAGGTGGCTCTCAGTTTCTTCATCAAACTCTTATTTTGCACAGTAATGAACAGTATGTTTTCCAAACTAAATAACTGAATAATGAGAGCATTTTAAATATGCATCATCTAAACTCTCTGAGAACATTTAAGGAGCTATTAGGCTCACCTGACATGTAAAGCTATTTCCTGAAACAGGGTGCTGCCTAAATAGGGCTGACTGCAAGAACGCAGGGCAGTGCTGGCTGAGAGGCCTCCTCACTGCTCACCTGTAGAGGGGTCTCTGGCTGCAGTATGTCCTTGGGGTCACCTGTCCCCTGTGTCCTGTGCACGTCTGGCCAGTTTAACACAGGCAGGAATGACAACAAATCACCCTGGCCCTGTAAGGAGAGACCTACTGGGGAGAGAAAACACCATACACATGTGTAACCACACTGCTTCTCAAATATGTGTCCAAATGCTTGATTTCTTCACTAGTTTACACACAGATGCATGTGTACAGATTAACCACCTGAAGCAAGTAAGCCAAAATTTACTCACCTAGCACAAGGAAGAGTGGGATGAGTAAGATTAAAAACTTGCAAATATTTCGAAGACATCTAGGAATAAAAATGAAAACATCTGGCTTGGAAGAAGCAGAAGGCAGGGCTCCCTATTCTCTTTCCCCTCTAGATAATTTCACCCGTAATTCACTCCCCACCCCGTATGAGAAACACAGTGATGGCTTTACTTGGAAGGTCTGTGATACCTCTGAGACCCTCCGTCATCTGAACAATCACCAGCACTGCTGACTCTGTGCAAGGTGTCACACCAGTGTGACGGGAAAGGCCCAAGGTGCCCTGAGTCACCCCCCTAGGGCCACCAGCCCACTGAGGTGATATGGCCCCGGGAACCGCACCAGGCAGGAGCCCAGGACTTGGGTCCCTGTCCTGAACAGGCCCTTTCAGGGCTTCACCTGTGCACTCTTCTGCTTTGTTAATGAGACCTGCCTAGCTCACAGGTTGATTTAAAGAACTAATAAGACTATGAAAGCACGCTGTCAAATACAAAACTATAAAGCACTATGTAAATATAAGCTAAATCATTATAAAACAATAAATCAAACTACAGCCTGCAATTGGCACACAACTGGTTCTTTGAAACACCAAACTGACATGCAATCAGTTTCCTTACCTGGTAAGAAGAAACACATTTAGCCAAGAAACCAGAGTAACAAACTGGTACCATCCAACTCCCAGCCACCAGAACATTCCAGAGGCTGCTTTCCCTAAAAGAGAAAACACCAAACATTCTAAGGAAACATTCTTAGGGAAACCAGGCTCGCAAATGGAATTTTTTGTGATAGCCAAGCTAGAAGCACAAGGAACTTACTAACAGCTACTTTGGAAGTAAGATGAAATCAGAGATGAAATTATTAAGAGGACCAGTCATCACAGCAGAAGTAACACGTAGCGCTGATGAACATACAAGAGACAAGCGAGGGAACCCAGGTCCATGCACCCTCAGTTATGCTGAAATCAAGCAGCTAGACTTACACAAACCCAATACACCAGAGGAACAGAGAGCGCTCATGCAACAAGAAGTCCAGTATGTTAGCATCTCTAATAAAGATGAACACACGACACCGAAGATCAAAAGATCGAAGCATGGGAGCCTAAATGAGAGTGTATTTGGTTAGGGGAATCATCTGTCGCAGGTGCTTAGCTGCCAGCTCTGAAGAGAACACGACAAGAGACCCCAAACAGCCACCTGGAGCAGCCAGGGCCAGCCAGAGGACCAGCCACGCCGTCCTGGACACAAGCCATCCCGCGGCTCCGATCCTGCGCAGACTCTGCCTCAAGAAGGAACCTGTGGCGGGAAGACGTTTTCCGTGCACTCAGACAGGCCCCGGGGAGCCTGCGCACCACAAGGGCCACACACAAAACCCCGGCGGCTACACATGCTACCACACTCTCTTATTCGTCTGTCAAGAGTCTGCCCCCCCCAAATATCTTAAGTATAAGCAGTATCTCACTGAAGCTGACATAAAAACGGTTGCATATTCTGAATAGTTTTCACTCACTTTTACCTGAAGATATTAACATGCAAAATACAAAACCCGAGAGGGAGTGGTGGTTGGAAACTACCCTATCAGTGTTGGCTGTTGGTGCCAGCAGAGTTTATATGGGAAAGACGGTGAAGTATTTTAAAGCAGACACAAATTCCAGACACCAGCAGTTCACATGCTCTAGGTGGTGAAATGATTACTCAAAGATCAAAATTAAAATTATTCTAAAGGCTCATCCTTTCCAGTGAAAAATTATTTCAGGATGGTAACTAGTAGTACCACTGGATGACAGAATACAACACAATAAGCTTAATAGTAAGCATCACACATGGACTGGGCGTGGTGGCTCATGCCTATAATCCCAGCACTTTGGGAGGCTGAGGGGGCAGATTGCTTGAGCTCAGGAGTTCAAGACCAGCCAACATGGTGAGACCTTGTCTCTACCAAAACAAAAACAAAAACGAAAACAAAATTAGTTGGGCATGGTGGTGTGTACCAGCAGCCCCAGCTACTCGGGAGGCTGGGGTGGAAGGATCACTGCACTCAGGAGCTCAAGACAGCTGTGAGTTATGATCACCATGATCATGTCACTGCACTTCCGCCTGAGCAACAGAGACCCTGATGCAAAAAATAAAAATAAACAAACATCACACGTTATAGGAAGCAGAAAACTCTTTATGGCATCAATTTTGTTCCTTTTTTTCCAAGCATAATTGCTGGAAGTTATACACTCTATTAACTTAGCATTCACATGCTCGCCCATGAAACTGCAACTCTAACATGGCTGACATGCAGAGAAACAGGTTTTAAGAGGAGCTTTAAAAAAATCAATTGTTTTATGTTTATTAATTAGCAGGCAAGAGACAATTGTTCTTGAAGCTAAGCTTTTTTTTTGGTTTTGCTTTTTTCAAAGCTGCCTAAAGAGGGTGTTCCTCTGCCAAGAAAGCTTCAAGTGCAGACTGGAAACATCCAGCATGTCAATGCAAACTTCCCTGATACAAACTTCAGGATGCAGATAGCAATCTCCAGAGCAACAAAGTATTTTCTAGCCGTGGGATGGTGAACAGGCCACTTTTTGGAAAATAATGTTCCAAGACAGGAGGCTAATTAGTAACTCGCACTTTCCAAACTTTTAATTTTACCTCCAAGTGTTTTTCATACATTCAACGCCTACTAAATACCACAGTTAAGGCTACTCCTGTCAGTTTTTAAAGCAAGGCCTTGAATTCCAACACAAACCAAACGAAGAACAACTTAGAAAGCACAGGATGGGATGGTGACGCGGTGAGGGACAACCTGCACATGCGCAGATGGGCCCCAGGAGCCTGGCCCAGGCTGGTGGCCACGGCGATGGCGGGGGGGTGGCTGTGTGTGTTTCGAGACGCTGCTTCTCCTTATAGTCATCGCCTGTGGGGAGGGACAAGCAGTTACTGGGACGGATGAGCATGCCAGCCTCCTCCCTCTGAACCGTGCACAGCAATGGTCGTTCGGAAAAAAGTAGGAAACCCAGTCACATACACAAAACTGAAAACCAGAGCAAATGCAGTCTGGTGGCTATGGCGTCTAGGACCAAGGGTTTACGCAACAGCCCCTCCAGCTCATCGTAACTGGCGAGGGCCATTCTCCATTCCTTGTGGCCCCATGTCACAACGTCCCAAGACCGAGCACTCCCTGTGGAGACGAAGCCATACTTACACAGTGCTGCCCGGTGCACAGCAAGCTGGCCGTCCTCTCTGAGCAGCTCTCTCCCATGCATCCTCCCACAGTAGCTGGGGTCGGCTGCAACACATGCAACACGGGCTGAGAGCACACCTAAGCACTCACGTCTCCTCATACAGGTGAAGCAGCACAGTCAGCGTGCTGGCAAGCCACGCCCACAGAGCTCCAGAACAGCCTACAGTGCCCACCCTGTGTTGCCCACAGGACAGGCTTGGTAAGCAGAGGGAAAGCCCCGCCTGGCTGAGCCACATGCAGCCAAAACAGTGTAGACAGTGGCGTGCCGAGACATTTGTCATTCTAAATGCTATTCAACCAAACTGGTTTTGCTTTAAAAAGGTAATACAAAGTTGAATATATTAGCTTTTCATTTAAAAAATCACTTTTTTGGGGTTTGCTTTTGAGTTGGAGTCTCATTCTTTCGCCCAGGCAGGAGTACAGTGGCATGCTCAAGGCCACTGCAGCCTCAACCTGCTGGGCTCAGGCAATCCTTCTGCCTCAGTCTTCCAAACAGCTGGAACAACAGGCCTGCACCACCACGCCTGGCTGATTTTTCTGATTTATTGTAGAGATGGGGTCTCGCTAAGTTGCCCAGGCTGGTCTCCAACCCCTGAGCTCAGGCAATCCTCTCACCTGCACCTCCCAAAGTGCTGGGATTACAGGCGTGAGCCACCATGTCCGGCCTAAAAAATAACTTTAAAAGTGTTGACACATTGCTCAACTTTCAGAAAACTGAACTACACTGGGCACACATTCCAGTTTCCCAAGTTGCTACACAGAAAGATCCTGAGAAAGCAGGCAGGAGGAAGTGGCACTGAGAATGCTAGAGGAGAGCCGTGAGTGAGGTGCCTTGGAAGAAAAGCACAGCATTCTCCACCTCGAAAGCATCAGTGGGAAAAGAAGGAAAAAGCTATTTAAATACCTTTTGACTCATGGCTTTTGGACTGATAGCTCTTTGATTCACAATCTTTTGATTCATAACTTTTCAATTTGTGGTTTTCTGATTCATAATGGAGCTTCATTAAAACCACTTGAAAAAGTTGAACTAAGAATGATGAGAAAGATGACGAAGTATATTTGGCCAGCCACAAAATCCTATCCATGTAGAAAGATGCACCGCCTATTAAAAAACCGTGAACACACATTACTTCTTCCCATAAAGCGAGTCTGACAGTTAAATTATTAATTTCAGGCAAAGCACTTCATTTATTTACTTATTTTCTGAGTCGCAGTCTCACTCTGTTGCACAGGCTGAAGTGCAGTGGCATCCTCACGGCCACTGCAGCCTCGACATACTGGGCTCAAGCGATCCTTCCACCTCAGCGTTCCACGTAGCTGGAACTATGGGCACGTGCAACCATGCCCGGCTAGTTTTTTGGTTTATGGTCAAGATGATTCTCGTCACGTTGCCCAGGCTAGTCTCCAACCCTTGGACTCTGGCAGTCCTCTCGCCTTCGCCTCCCGAAGTGCTGGGATTACATGAGCCACCACGCCCGGTCAGGCAAAGCACTTTCAAATGGACACCAGAGACAACTAACTACTCAGGAAGAGCCAAAGAGACGGACACCAATCCTGAAAGGCGACAGGGAAGCCCGCACAGGGAGCCCACCAGCACTGCCGCTGCACTAGCAATCTTCCACAAAACATCCAACCTGAGATCACTTCGCTACAGTATTCGTCACACACACACTATAGTATCCAGGTGCTGCCACAGAGCCACTTCCGGAATGACCTCTGGCCTGCCAGTTTGAGGAGGCCAAACTGGAGCACCAGGAGCGCCTCCTAGGGCATTTGCAACAGTACGTGCAACAAGGGAGGGACAAGAATGACCAAAACGGTCACCGAGAGAAACTTACTTAACCATGGGACATACAACAAAAATGCCAAGCTGTCCTTGGCTCCTTTTTGCTAGTGAGCACCTGTGGCTTCAGGAGACACAGTGTGACGACCCTTGATACTTCTGCTAACCTGAATATGCGGGTGATGTTCTGGAGTGGAGTGTGGGGAAGTGGGCTTGTGGGTCCGTGGCTCCGCCAGGCCTGGAACCCGCCCCATGGAGTGCTTCTGACTTGCCTCCCCCCGGCCCCTCTGCCCAGCAAGACCTGGCAACTCTAGGGTCTGTGGCACGATGACCACCGAGCTGGTGAAGTCCGAATGGAGTGATTTTAAAGAAATACACTTAGAGCTCTGTTATTTTCAAAACCACAGCAAAAGGCTGTTTGTGAACTGGAATTCTGTGCTGAAGAAACACCAGCCTGGCAATAAGCCTAGTGCCAACATAGCTTCCACCGTAGCACAAGAGCTAGAGAGGCTGGTAAAAACAGCAAGACGCTTTATGAAAGGTAATGCATCTTTATCCATCAACTTGGCAAGAACAAAAATGTAAAGAACTGGCCAGAGGGAAAGGGGACCCTTGTCCCGTAACAGGAGCCAGTGATGTGAGCCTGCCTTGAATGAAGGCAGGTGGAAGCAGCTACTGAAGGCAAAAGTGCACACAATTGTTTTTTTGTTTTGTTTTGTTTGAGTTAGAATCTCACTCTGTCACCCAGGCTGGAGTGCAGTGGCACACTGACGGGGCTCAGGGGATCCTTTTGCCTCAGCCTTCCAAGTATCTGGAACTACAGGCATGTGCCACCATGTCCAGCTAATTTTTTTATTTATTGTAGAGATGAGGTCTCGTCAAGCTGCCCAGGCTAGACTCAAACCCGTGGGCTCAGGCTATCCTCTCATTTTGGCTTCCCAAAGTGCTAGGATTATAGGCATGAGCCGCCGCACCTGGGCGTAGTGCTCACAACTGTTAACATGGCACTTATACTTCTAGTCTACCCTGGAAAAAGGTTTATACACGTACACAGTGAGGTATGTACAAAGAAACAGACCCAGAGAAAAAAATGTTTTTAATGGTGGACAAATTTAAAATTCCTGAATGTTCATTTAGAAACTAAATTTTGCTACATCCAGAAATATAATACTAGACGAGCATCAAAATGAAGTTAGTATCAATTAATACACAAAAAGAGGTGCAAGACTATGAAACTCTGGTAGCATTTAAGTGGAGACAAAAACAAAACATCAAGTTCTATAGCACATAAAGGCAGAATTCAAGTGATGTTATATAACACGGTGAATATACTAAATGCCACTGAACCGTACACTTCACAATGGTTACTGGCTAATGTGATATTATGTGGATTTTTATCTCATCAAAAAATAGAATTCCTATGGAACTATTGTGATCAGCAGTGGTTCCCTCTAGAAGGAAACTGGGTTGGTTGTAAAAGGACTTATTTGATGTGTACTATGTAAAGATTTCACAGTGAGAACTACAGTCAGAATGCAAGTAAAAACAAAAATAAACAAAAAGTGGAGGGGAAGTTAATTTATGCTTGAGAAAAGCCACACGTATTTGAAGTAAATCTGGTTCTGCATAATAGTTCCTGCAACAATGTAGCAGAGGAAGAAGGCATCCAGCCATACATCTAGTGCAGCTGTCTCTGCACTGCAGGCGACTTTTTCTTCTTTGTGCTTCCCCGTGATTTTCAAACACTCTTTGATAAAACATATTTTACTCTAATAATTAGAAACTGGCTTTTTTTTTTTTTTTACAGGATCACCAATTAGTGTTGGCTCCACAAATCATGGCTTTAGTTTAGGAGAGCAAAGCAGGCGTGAAGGAGAGAAGTCTACAGCAGATAAAGTTGTAGCTGGTTTTCTCCTCAAAAACACCCAGGGCCCATTTAAGCAGGGGTGTGTGGCGAGTTTCAGAAGGTAAAGTCAAAACTTTTCCAAGTCTTTTTCTATCTGAAGATACACTTGGCCACGTGGCTCAGCTCAGCCACACTGACCCCCCTCACCATGCTCTCCAAACAGAGAGTGGCTGGAGATAAGCAGATGTACACATACCATGATACATGTAGGGAAAACAGCAACCATTTCCATAGCCACTCAACTATCTGTGAATTGCATGAATCTCTAGGTTGTGGAAAATGCTTTTGCTCTAAGAAAGCTTTCACCCTCAATCTCCCACAGGCCTACTTGAAAACATGCACAGGATCTGTACAGATCACGTAACCTATGCTAGGCCACATGCTCCGCACTGTGCCTGGCCTGGATGCTCAGTGGACACAAAGTCCTCCCGGGGGCCGGATGGCACAACGGGTCCCTTCTGGCCTCCGTCACCTACCAGCAAGGTTCCTAAGCTAGCCAAACCTCCGTTTCCTCATCTGTAAAACGGGGGCCTCACAACCATCGGTTCAGAGCGCCTGCCAGAGGGCGCACTCAGGGACACTGGCCGGTGCCGAGGAACCCAACTGCAGCCCATCCCCAGGGCTGGAATGGAAGCCCATGCATTGCTGTGCTTCTGCCACCTCCCCCTCCCCACTTAGGCTTAGCTTGCTATGTTAATGTGAACAGTGTCCCTAACACCGTAGCCTGGAGTGCAGTGACACGCATGCTCACAGCCACCCCAGCATCGAACTCCTGGGCTCCAACGATCCTTCCGCCTCAGCCTTCTGAGTAGCTGGAACTACAGACGCGTGCTACCATGCTCGGCTATTTTTTATTGTAGAGATGAGGTCTCGCCAAGCTGCCCAGGCTGGTCTTGAACCCGTGGGCTCAGGCAATCCACTCGCCTCGGCCTCCCAAAGTGCTGGGATGAAAGGTCGAGCCACCGAGCCTGGCCAGGACTACATTTCTCACCCTTCATTATGCCCCATCCTTTGAGACGTATCGGCTGAGCACCACACCTGTGGGCGCACCTAGCATAGCTGCAGCTGCCCTGCTGAGGCTTTCAGTACCTCCAAGGACAGCAGGACAGGGACCCAACAAACCAGGTACCTTGGAAGGAGGCAGCACAAGAACCAAGTCAAAGCTCTAATCTCTTCCTGCTGTGAGAGAAAGCACAGCCAGGCAGTCCCAAAAGGTGTGGATTCCAAGCTCTAGGGACAAAGCTGCCATGCCTGGAACCCAGAGCCCTGCTCTTGCCCCTGGGCCCAGGAGGAGGCGCTGGCAGTGACATCCACACTCCTCCCAGCCACCTAAGAGGAATTGGGCTGCTGTAGCGACCTCTGCTGTGTCACAGGCAGGGGCTGCCCATGTGGGTCTCTCCCAAGCCTGTGTGTGCCCTGAAGGCCCCTGTGTCACTATAACCGCAACATCAATGACCACGGAAAATGCCTTCCTCACTCTAACACTGGCATAAACACTTTTCACAGTACAGGCGAAAAGTAGCCCCTAAAGTTGTTCTCAAGTCCATGTGGATATCTGTGCAGTTTTTTTTGAAAGGAATGATCTGAAAGCAAATGTACAGTTTAAGTGGGAATTTTCTTTGGCTCACCTTAAGTCCCGATTTACAGAATTTCGAACCTTGTGGCACAACAATACTAGCCACTAAAAACGTACGCTGAAAGAAGACAAGTCGGACAGAACGAACCTGTGGAGTATCCCTGAAACTTGCCAAGGGTAATTCACGCCCATAGCAGAAACGGCGCACACATCCAGGCTCACAACAGCGGGTTTATAAAAGGAAAGGTAATTCTCTGAACGATATTCTTGTTCTGACTTTATAAAGAGTGAGACTTACGCTTCTGGTTCCTCTCCCTAGAATAGATCCTTGTCAGCGGCCCGCGGACAGAGGTGGAGGCCGTGAGTGCGTCCCTGCGCTCCGCCAGCATGCTGCAATCGCGGCAGGTGTAGCCGTTATGCACAGTAGCAGCGGTAGTGGCCACTTCTCCATTCTCCTGAGTAGAAGCTTTACTTCCAGCTAGAGTTTTCAAAAGGTAGACAAAGCCTGTTTATCACACTCTGCAGACACTTAACTAAAGCTTCTATTTTGAAAAGCGTGGGAAAGAAAAAGTGCTGAAATGATTACCTTTAAGATCACCATCGTCATCAAGACCTGGAAAAACACACGTTTGCATTGAGTTCAACTTATCAACAACAAACAAAACCCACCAAAAAAATGTAAAGGCTACATGGTTAATAAATCAGCATACGGTATTGCTCAAGATTTATTTCCTAAAATGTCTAGAATTAATGGAAATGTCTCCAGATACATGCAGATATTTTTTCTTAAATTTTTTTTTGGAGCCAGGATCTTGCTCTATCTCCCAGGCTGGAGTGCGGTGGCACAATCACAGCTCACTGCAGTCTTGACCACTTGGGCTCAAAGGGTCTTCCTGCCTCAGCCTCCCAAAGCACTGGCGTTACAGGTACACGCCATCATACCTGGCCCAGATCCTATCTTTTGACTCAAGGTAAAAGTATATCTTTGGATAAAATATATCCATATACCAACACACACACACATACACACACACAGTATGACCTAATGAGGCAAGTAGAAATATAAGCAGAATTCAACAGATTTTAAAAAGCTGGCTGGATGAGGTAATCTCACTTTGGGAGACTGAGGTAGAAGGACTGCTTGAGCACAGGAGTTGAAGACCAGCCTGGACAACATGTTGAAACCCCGTCTCTACAGAAAAATTTTAAAAATTAGCTGGGCATGGTATGTGCACCTGTAGTCCCAGCTACTCGGGATGCTGAGGTGGAAGGATCACCTGAACCTGGGAGGTTGAGCCTCTCATGAGCCATGATTGTGCCACTGCAACTCCAGTCTGGGTGACAGAGTGAGATCCTGACTCAAAAAAAAGCCCACTTGCTCAGTATTCCCCGTAATGAGGCAGAAACCTCCTAACAACAGCTTGTACATCTTTGTTATCTGGTACCTGCTCTCACTCACTGAGCAAAACACGAATACCAATGCTGGAAAAAATTGACCCACAGAATTTTTGGAAATAATCTGGATCTTCTAATTGCCTCAAACCACCCCCCCAAACATAAATTAAGTGCAAACAAGCAGTTGTGAACGCCTGATCACAGCTCTCACTGCCTTTGCCCTACGTAGTCACAGCGTGACCACATCGAGTCTTAGCATTAATTCTTCCACGCAGGAATGCTTCTGAATCACTCAAAAAATACCATCTGCCTTGTCACTGAGAGCTTTCTGGAAACACACTGGTAAGTTTTCACACTGCCTTTGTTTAAACGTCTTCTCAAAAAAACGCACTTAGAAAAGCAGACTTGACCTGTATGATGGCCATTTGTATATCTAATCCTGAACTGTACTCCACATCTTTAAAATAGAATAAAAAAATTAAAAAAAAAGAAGAGGAGACTTCTCAGGTGACTACTGAGAGTGTCTCTTATACATCATAGCAAGTAGTTACAGATCAGCATGTAGGCTGCAGAGGGACGTGGCATCCAACGTGCTTCCCGCTCAAGTCCCACCCCAACACACAGCAATCAAACGAACTGGCCATCACTTGCCTTCTCCCCAGAATGATCTGCGAAATATCCAAACTGTATACAAGGTGAGCTGCATCTCTCAATGACTCACCCCAGAAGTGGTCCACTTTGGTCTGCTCACGAATTAAAGACTCGTCCAGCACAGGAGGCCGCTGAAAGGCAGCATTCTGCAGACTGAGGGCACCACCCTGGCTGACAGCTGAGGATGTGACCTTCCTTGACACATGGTTGATACTCAAAGCCAGTTTGTTTGCACTTCTGCGCTGTTTTGCTGTTCTAAAAACAGAGAAAAAACAAGTTTATAGATTTTTTTTCTAGTAAACACAAAATGATTAGGTTTTACCAGTACAAACTCCTTGGCAGCATTTTAAGGCAAACCATTTTCTTGAGGCTTTTCTGTGTAATGAGTCATCTATTAATCTAACAAAAATTTTTTTAAGCTGGGTCTAAGAACTGAGTGGTTTAAATGAACTAAAAATTTTTTTAAAAAAACTATGACTTAAGAATGTAACCATTCTCATTCTCTAACAAGTAACTGCATACACATACATATCCCACGTTATTTTCCAGTCACTGGTAAAGATGGAACTGTGTTAAGCACAGCAAGAATAGGTGGTACTCTAAAATACTTTCTGCATTCATATCTACCACACCCAGCTGGGTGGTTCTGACACAGGGCTACATTTTGGAGTCAACTGGTTCTCTGTTGCACCAGGAACCTACTGCCTCTGAATCTCCAAGGGTAAGGTCCAGGAATCTAATCTGTGACCATGAACTTCCCAAGTGACTATGGTGCATGTGGACCCCTGCCCCCAGCTGGAAGCACTACTGCAGACCCCAACACAGCTGCTAACAGTATGGGAAATCACATGAAGACGAAGCCACATGGAGCTCACCTGATCATGCTGTCCTTGAGGGAGACAGCACTGCCGATGCAGGAATGAGCATCCACAGCCTGGCCATCCCCTGTGGTCTGTGTTGTGACCACGCGCAAACTCCGGCGGGACATCCTCGGAGAATCAAATACGGGATCCAATTTGTGTTCAGTCTCAAAATCCAGAGCATCAGAAGAATAACTTGAACTAGAAGGGAAAACCCCCCCCAAAACCAAACTAGTATCGCCTGACAACTTCACTCTAAAGCAAAGCACGGTGGCCCCCGAGTCAGTCAATGGCGCGTGGCACCTGCTCAACCACTCCTCCGCCACGGGCAGGTGCTCAGATCATGAGGTCTAGAACTTCTCCAGAGAAGACCTGCCTAAGGGCATGTTGAATCCCCACGAATTCCTGCCTAGGAAGAATTATGTCTGCAATACAAACACAGCAGAGCACACTTACCAGGAGACACTATGCCTGATAAAGCCGTTAATAAACGGATGCGACCAGGACGTGGAATTTCATCCAGTACACCAGCATCCATGTAAGCAGAGGCAGGAACCCAAGTGACTGAGTCACCAGCGCACCCCTCCATCTAACCCTAACCCACAGGTGGGGACAAACTCAAAACTACAAAAAAGTCACTTGCAACACAGGCCATGACATTATCAAATGAATGTAATGAAATACAAAGATGTATTACTGTATGTGGCTAACATGCTTCTCCAAATGAAAAAGCATGCACTGAGCACCTTTTTTGTTCTCCCATGGGCAGACATCAAAGCCCTAGGGTCATCCTTGTGAAAGGAATCTCATACAGGACGCGAGGGCCACAGACCAGGTGAGCACAGGGTGAGAGAAGGGAAGGCGGCTTGTGCCTCCGGGGAGGCTGTGCAGAGGGTATACAGACCAGAGATGCGGAGGGCCTCCCTGCACCGCACCAGGGCAGCATGAAAGCAAGGGGCCCCGAGAGGGCACGGTGGGTCCAAGCGGCCATGCTGAGAGGGCATGCTGAGTGGCCATGCTGAGAGGGCAAGTGGGAGCGGCTGATGAGCAGGAAGGACGCATCTGAGTCGGGCCCGGGTGCACACGGCCTTCGTGCCCTGCCAGGGACAGCTAAGGAGGCTGCAGAGAGTCAGGGCCGCAGGGGTTTCTTGTGCGGTTGGTCAACAGTGAGGTGGAGTGGCCAGGGGACAGCCAGGAACCTCCACCGTGAGGGCGGGGCTGGGGGAAGCAGCTTGTGCTCAGGACAGGCTGGGCCTTTGGAAATAACAGTAACCAGGAGTATCTGAGCAAAGTAAAGGGACTTAACACTTCTGCATTGCATTTTGCTTACAAAAATGCTTTCAGAATCATATTTATCATAAATACACCAGTTCTAAGACATGCGAAAATATGTCCAATCAAACCAGTGGCAAATCAGCACAAACTGCTTTAGGTCATCACAAGCAATTTAACAAAGAAGTTCTCCATCTTGGAGTCAGAGGTGGGGCCAAGAGACACTGCACTCACCCATGCGGAATACTTAGCGTGGACCTCAAGCAAATCATAATTTCAGTAGAATCCGAAACATGGATAGCACTCTTCTAGCAGACTATTTTTTTTTTTTTTTTTT